GAGAGAGAGAGAGAGAGAGAGAGAGAGAGAGAGCTTCTTGTGCGATTCAAATACTCACTTTTTTGCCTTCCTGTGCCTTCTCTAGCAGCCAGATAAGAATTGATCACAAATCACAAGAGCCTACAGGTGTGGATTCTATGGCAAGCAATCTGTGACAAGTGCCTATGGGATCACTGTCCACATCTGGCGCAACAATAAGTAGATATCTGATCAAAATCCTATACTGTCTATGAGTTGAGTTGAGTTTTGAGCAGTCCAGTCCATCTGGACGATGGTGACTTGTTTGTGTGCATGTAACTGACAGTTTATGATGAATTGCTTCTTTGTTTAGTGTTCTAGTTTGATAATTATTACTAACATGGAATTACAAGTAAGAGTGGAATTATGTCTTTTGTTTATAGAATGTTTGAGCTTTACCATCTGGTAGTTTAACTACGAGTGTATGTTCTATTGTATGCTGACTCTGTAAACATGTAGGCCAGTTATTTGATTGCTAGGCTTTTTTTTGCGTTGGCATGTTGGCTGATTTTCGCAGAGAGGTTCAGGGGAAGAGCTGGGAGGGGGCCATACTTGTGGTTATACCCTGTACACGCTTGATGACCTAATCCTTTTGTTGTAACATATTATCATTAGGCGCTTTAATCCAAGACTGAGAAAAATGCCCTTTAAGGGAAACGATGTTCTTTATTTGTTGCTAGTACTCAGTGCTCAATTTATTTGTGCTGCTTGTTTTTGCAACTGGCTTAAAAAAAATTTGCTGTTGGGTATGTACTATTGGCTACTAGGGAGAAGATTTGTTGCTCAGTTACTTCTCTTTTCCTGAGCAAGTGTTTTTTAGGAGGAGGCTAAATTATCATTCTTTTGTGAGATATCTTAGTCAGCATTTTTTCTGACGGTTTAGTAAGAGTCATGGTGGTGGTGATGATGATATTTACATTGCTCTTATGGTGTTTTTGTTGTTCCAAATGTTGTTTCAGTTATTGTCAATCTTCAATGCTGCTGTTGTGTCTGTTTCTGTTTTGTCTTATAACTATTTTGGCTGATGCTATCGTTGTTGCTAAGTTTGCTGTTGTTTTGTTGTTGTAGTTCAGGGGTCTCAATTCTGTGGCAATAATCTGCAGCCTTTCTTGACATCAAAGTTAAGTGTCAGTGCAGCTTGCATGTTTTTGTCATGCACCTAGATTAATGTGGTCGAGCTATGGAAAAGAAGTGCTGACAGGTATCTTTTTTGTATGCTATTGAATGAAAAATCAAACAAAAACAATCAACCAGCTGTTGAACAGAAATAAAGTCATGAGTCTACACACTTTTAAAATTGATACCCTCAATTTCTATTTTTTGACAAGGCCGTTTTTACCGAAGCACCTCATCTGTTTTGGGAGGGGAGGGGGGGATTTTTGTCTCTTATTGGATCCTGTTTTCATGAACAGTCGTTGGATTCTAATGAGCTTGCCTCGATAAACATAGAATGACTTCACATGTGTATGCTAATGGTTAGGGCGCATGTATGTGCATGTGCGGGTATGTTTGTGTGTGAGTGTATTTGTGTGTGTGTGTGTG